CCTTATAGGGTGGCTGGGGGGGATTGGGGGAAACATGCTTCTTCAGACGTCGTATGGGTTGTTGTGCAGTGTTGTGCCTGGTTGGACGTTGGCAAGCTATCAATCTGGAAGCAGATGGCAGCGGCAGATCTGGATGCTGATGCGCCTACCTCTAGCGTTGCGGGGCAATCGGTTGTTTCTTTCGTGTACAGCACAGAAAGCGGTTCCGGTCATCTCGAAGCTGTGCAAAGTAGGCCTAGACCTACAGCACCTAGACTCAGCTAGATATTCCACTCGCTCTTCGTACAGCAGCAGTACATGCCCTACCGAACGGCCGGCAGCCCGGTAGCGCGCACATACAAATCGGTGCCCCCGACAACAGTCTACATTGTAGACTAATTGATTGTGCTTTCGGCGGTCCTGACATGTTTTTCTAGCAGCATTCTTCTCCTCCCCTACACACCATGAGTCCCCTGTGCGCGCAGGAACATACTCCACAGAACATACGAGCAGGCGGGCTCTGCAAGCCTGCACAGCTCGGGCTTCAGTATGCAAGCTAGCAGAGCTGAGCTAGCCGAGTACCACCTCCAAACCGTCAAGAACCGCGTGCGCGCGCGCCCAAAAAGCACGGCATGCTTTCCGAACCTTCCGGAAACCCTACCCCCGAACCCCCTAAAGATCCTTTCGCACGATTGGTAATCCGACCTCGACTCTTGATTCATTGCTGATCTATCTTGGACTCTTTTCTTCCATAGAGATGGATTCGTTGTGGTCATACTGATGAAATAAAAAAGCCCTGCGGAACCCCGGGTTGTAAATGCATGTTGTTTGTTGGATTGTGGGAAAAATCAAACGCAAGGCCTGGGAGCAACACGCAGCCCTCGTGTGTTACTAACCTTCAGCACTGCAAGCGGCGTGATTCTACATATCAGACACGACCAGCAGTGCCAAATCAGCGTGTCGGCGGCAGCATGCAGTGCGTAGAGCGTAGGTCCTCGGAATCTTTCGCAAGCCGCAAGCACAGCAGTACGTACTCATCTTCTGGTGTGTGCTCCCACGCAACGAGGTGCATCGTATGGTTTGTGCACACAACACGCAACAGCAGCTCGCAAGTCTCACCGGAAATCCTGCTCGGCCTCGAAGAAGGCGGGATCGATTTCTATGCGCAGCTTGTCCTCGAGGGCTTGAAGGTCCACCCCATCCCGTTTCCACCTGGACGGTGGTTGCGTCTCTCCGTCTCGCTTGCTCATAGTGTTACCCTCCCACCCCCCACTGCCTCTCTCTCTACCTCTCTCTCCGCGTGCCAGTGCAGTGCGCACTGATGCGAGTGATGGGGGTGGGGGTTGGCATTGTTCTTATTTCAGGTCTTTACGAAACCCCAGCCAGCCGTTACAAGCAAAAACACAACCGACCGACAACCTATGCGCCGATCTGTGTGCTAGAATTATTGACAACTCTCAGGGCTCGCTTGATAGCCTCCTCGCAGGCCACAAGACAGCCAAATGGCTGATCCTAGTACTGCTGATGTGCAGGCCGAGTTGAAGGAGTATCTTAACTCGAAGAACATTAACAGGTGTGTTCCAGGTGCGACGCTGTCGCTGGGCTGGGATAATATGCTACAATATGCACAGCAGTCCGCTTGTGGTTCTACTTATGATTTCTGGGAGTGTCGTCGGGTAGTAACTTCTTGTTAGCGACTTTCAAGACGCCTCGCCAACTCCTCTATGTCCAGGATGCATTTACTTTGTTGCATTGTTTCCATCCCTCGCTTTATGGAAGTCTCTTCATTCAGATCGTCGAGCGGCTTCTTATCGAGAAACCTGACAATCCGATCGGCTTCATCGTCGAGTACCTGGCCAAGAGGTATCCAGACGAAACGAGGGCAGCGAAGGTTGGCCATGCCATCACCCAGCGCACGGGATCTCTGGCGAGCAACTTGACATCAGCATCCAGGTGACGCAGATTATCGTAGCTTGACTAGACAGCACTTCTTGCATACACACACACGCACAGCTTATGGCGAAATTGGCGTCAGGCCATCTTACAATCTTGCCTATTTCACCCCACCTAACCTCCACAGGTGGTCAGCATAGTCTAAGCCAAGTGAATTCTACAATAAGGCCTCCCCCAAAACACCATGGCGAAGGTTGGATCCGAAAAGTCATCGAGCTGGATTCGTGCGCGCTATCCAAGATACATTATGTACAAAAACGAAACTCTGCGTCGGGTCAAGGGGCGGCGACTGACTACATACTATACATACCTCGCCCTCAACTCGCAGATTCTTACATTTCTCTTGCCCTTCGAGGTTGTGAGTTTCCGCCCCACAACTTTTATTTTACTGCTGAGTGTCATCTGGGGCTACAGTATCAGTGTTGCCCTCTTCTCCCGGGACGCAAAGCAGAACAATTATTTTGACGAAATTGGAATTTACACCAATCAATTGTCTCCTCCATCCCCATGCCAGGACACATGCGCCAACGAAGAGCCCCCCTGCAATAAAATGTACTCATAGACTATGTATACCTGACATAGTTCTAGTATAAACAACCAGGTCATGTTGGTTTCGCTCATGGCCCGCTCGACCTTGAAACCGCGTCATCGACGATATGTCGTGAGCACAACAGCTTCTGTGAACATTCCTACTATTTATTGAACACGATAGAAACGTGCGTTCGTTCGTGTGACGTCATTTTTCCATGCCCGACATTCTTACTCTTCTCGCTGTACCGACGCCGCCCAAAAATGAGTTGACACTGGCCTGACCTGTCGTGTTTTCCTCGGGGAAGATTCCATGTACTGACATTTGGCGTTGTATGCTGTATGTACCAACCACGACCCCTCCTCCCCTGAGTTCACCTCCTCCTTCCAGAGGGCAAGAACGGATGAAAATCTAGGGCAGCGGATCGTTGCTCGGAAATCGCGTCCCTCTCTTATGAATCGCCTATCATTGCCTGACCTTGCACGGGATACACTCACGAGTGGCAAACAAAGGCACAAGGTGAACCGTTTTCCTTCTTCCCGTTCTTCATTCGTCCGCCCCGTACACTCGTGTATGATGAACTAGCCGTGTCGAATCGGAGGAAGAGCAAACAGATTCAGAAGACGACGAGTATTTGGACGACATCGACCTCCAGCCCACGACAGTACCCAAAAAAATCGTGCGGCGTGAATCTGTGTCAGCGGAACAAGTTGGAGCAAACACGGTAAGTGTTCGTTTTACGTCAACATCCAACTACACGGTCTGTAGTAATATTATTCTGTGAACGTTACGCTGTCTGAGCCGTGTGGGCAAATATTCCTACTAACCACTTTTTTTGTGAAACCGCTCTTTGCCGCTGTTTGGTTGTTCTGGTACACCTTTAGAAGCAGCCGGAGCTAAAGATCGTGCCCAAGAGCGATGAGGAATCCACGAGGATTCATGAAATTCTTCGCGAAAACTTGTAAGTTACGTCAGGGGGGGTTGAAACTTGTTAGTAAAATGCCGCGCAAGATCAAGTGTAACTCATCACCTCCAACCCAATACATGAAACTCAGCCATGTAGCACACATGGCAACGTTCGAAGGCACACCCTTGGTGAAGGAACCGCGGAAAGTATCGACACGCCAGCCTTTTTCGGGTGTGTGACGAGAATGACTTCGGATACGAACACGTTTCGCAGCCTGAAGTGCCCTCTAATCTAAACACACGAGAGACGGAGGCAAGCTGACGGAGGCCTGATGAAATACCAACAACAATGTTGTGTTGAACACTTTGTTGAGGATACATGATCGTCCCGGAAAGGACATCAACATTGCACCACATGACGTTAACCCACCCCGGTGAACAGCCACACCCACCCCTATGAGTGCGTGTATCTTTCCCTATCCACGGGGCTTTTCCCTCGCCTTTTTTTACACGTGTGTCTTCGCCAAGTACCATACCCAGCGGAAAGGTTGCCCCCCAGCCTTTGTTGTTCTGATAATCACATTCAACCATGGGCTCTTCGCAACGTTTCCGTGTATATATCGGTTTCAACAGACTGTTCAAGCACCTAGATTCGCAGCAGACGGACCAGGTGAAAGACGCCATGTTCCTAGTCCAGCACGAGCCCGACGACGTGGTCATTCGTGAAGGTACGCCATGTCACGATGATATACATGGGTTGTAGATTGCTAAACCCGTTGATATGTGCTACTGCTGTAAGTATGTGAGAGTTGGCTGGGACAGGAATCATGGTGAGACTTCATCTATTTAGATTTTCTCCAGGGGTTATGAGGGCCAAGTTGCACAGCTCACGGCCGTTCAACACACGACCCACACGCATTTTATTGTGATAGCCTGGTTGCCGTGTGCTCTGGTTTCAGCCCGTTGTAATGTCAATGTTCTCCTTGTGTGCCTTTCGCAGGAGACGCCGGTGACAACTTTTACGTGATCGACGAAGGCACCTTCGACGTTTACATAAAAAAGGAGGGCGTGGAAACAAAGGTACAAGTATATCAAATCTATGCATATGGGGGTAGTATTTGGACAAAGTCCTCGATGTATTGCAATTCTGATCTCTAACAGTCAATGGATTTAAGTCATGTCTCACGTAGAAGTAGACTATATGTCGTTTTTTCTGACCCACGACACGTTTACAGGTAAAATCTCTGGGGCCTGGAGAGTCTTTCGGTGAATTGGCGCTGATGTATAGCACGCCCCGCTCAGCCACGTGCAAGGCCGTGACGAAAGCGCGCCTATGGGCGTTGGACCGCATTTCGTTCAAGGTGGGCACTAAGAAGAATGGACGATATTGGCACTGAAATATTCTAGGCTCGGCTCCGAACTTTGACTTTGGCAAAAGGCAAAAAAAAACAAAGCTACCAGATTGTTCAGTACGGACTCTCAAGTCTCTGATAGCTGTAGAAGCCAAGTGAAGGTTAACCGTAGCTCACTTGTTGGTTACATGCTCTTGCGATCCATGTCAGATAATTCTGCAAGCAACCACAACGGCTCGGCGGAAGCAGCATAAGTCGTTCCTCGAAAGCGTCCCTACGTTGGAGCAGTTGACGGAATACGAGATATTGACTATCGCGGATGCTCTGGTGGAAGACTCGTACGAGGATGGAGACGTGATCTGTACCCAGGGGGAGGTCGGAGATGCATTTTACATTATCAAGAAGGTGGGGCGTGTACCACTTCGTCATCGTCTCCCTCGCAGTTAGCGCGAGACATAGTACCTTGTTTGGTATACTATAACTGAGGGTGATCAATTACTGCCAACATGTTAAAATAAAATAATTGATTTGGAAGAAAATGTTGACTACGCCCTTAAGAAGTCATCTAGTACTTCCCGAGGTGAACAGCAGCAGCAGTGAGGCCTGAGAGAACCGTAAACTGTTGCCCTGATTGGATCGCATTTTCATCCCTCAATGATTGGTCTGGTCACGCCCTGCATGCGTCGACGTGGCAGGGATCCGCCAGCGTGATCCAGACCGATGCATTGGGTGAATCGCAGGAAATCGCCCATCTGGACATGGGACACTACTTTGGCGAGGTATGTGAAAAACGCATTTCTCTTTATGTCGACAGCAAACATGGTGCCGAGACGTGCGGACGGCCTTGCGATGGGGGCCTTGGTCATGCGTTTCTTTGCATCTCTAGGTTTGTTATTACCTCGGGTATATGAAGTATTTGGCGGCAAGTTGCAGCTGATGTGGAGGAGAGCCAGAGGACTTCAGCACATTGTGCTCCAACCACAGAAAGGGGGCTTGCGCCCACACCGATTCGCCACAAGTCGAATCACCAGAAAAAAATATCGCCAATGTGGATTCGGAGCTTTCGAGTCACCATGATGCGCACGATCAGAAATGCGCAAAGATGTTGGAATGTTGGGGTAGCAGAACCAGTGGGTCCGGGATGGAGCGAGCAACGAACTGTGAATGATTGGCAACGCATGACTTCGTGGGCTTGCTCGACTGACAGCTTGACCAACCCCTCCCTTGTGTTGTACGCAGGTGGCCCTGATATTTGCTCAGCCTAGAGGAGCAACAGTGAAGGCGGTTGGCCCCTTACAGCTTCTGTCACTGGATCGCCGCACTTTCAAGCGGGTCATGGGCTCAATGGAAACGATACTAAAACGGAACATGAAGGCATACAAGCGAATCGCGGCGAGCAACATTTGAATGTGAAGCAGTGGGAAAAACTTCACCATTAGCCAATGATACTCATCGATCAACGTCGAGATATGAGGAGGAGCGAACGAGAATAATACTTGAGCGTGCCCGCACGGGTCGAAAAATACGGAGGCTTGCTGCCATGGCGAGCGAAATAAACAGAAGTGGGATGCAAATAAATCAGCCCAGTACCGTACCAGTATGCGGCAACTGTGAATAGCACTTCCTCTGGTAATCCACCTCGGTGGTATTTTGATGCCGACAAAACCTAAGGTATATTGACGTGAAGTATTCAACGCACGGCACGTATGCACATAACCTACGCAAGGCACATCAACCGGTGGTAGATTGAACGGCACCTGTATTCACGCGGGAGCTGCCAAAAAAACAGGAAAAAACAAATCATCTACTATCGTCGTCGTCGCTCTCGACGTCATCTGAAACGCTGGAAGCCCCGTCGTCACTATTGTAAGTTGATTGAACGCTCACCGCCCCCGAACCGCTGACACACACTTGTAGCTTATGCCCTCCCGAAACCGCGGCGGTGTGGGTTGTGCGACCCGCTACCACAGACGCTGGTTTTCTGATGGCCTGTCCCCGCGCAGCCTTACGGTTCTTGCCCGACTGCAGCGCCCCCTTGCGCATTCTCTTCGATAATGCCTTTACGTATTTCCTGCTGACTCCGCGTTTATAGTCTGCATCCTCGCATCCTGGGGCTGCATCCAGAGCCGAAGAATCACGACAAGGCGCGCCGGGACCAGCGGGTGTCCTGGGTGTCCTGGTGTCCAACACGTCTCCTCGGGCCTGCACTCCGAACCGCCTATGCCCCCGTATCGGAGTTGCTTGAAACAAATCGTCACTGGCACCCCGCTCGGGTGTTTGCTTGGCCGGTGCTAGAGATCTATATGCAGCTGCGGCTGGCGTGTTGCGTGACATGTCATCTGAAGGGGGCGTGCCAATTCGTTGAGAAATGCAACCTCTTGCGGAAGCATTCCTGGACCGACCTCGAGGTGTTGCAAAATGCTCGAACCACTTCTGTTGGCACTCTTGTGGATTCCTACCGTCAACGTTGCAGGCCACAGCACTCCAAAAGGCGGACGTGGAAGGGGCTGTTTCTGCTTGCGCGCGGCGCAGACTGTGCATTTGGGCCTTCGTCCACGGTTCCTCCTCGCCATTGGCGTCCCGACCAACCGTCTTCAGCCTGCATGCGCTGTCCATGTCGGCGTGATTTCCTGTGCTGGGTTGGCCTAAAGGGAACCGCGCAGCTCCTACGACACCCACACTGGGAGTCTTGGTCAAACGCTGACTCCGCCACCAGTCCAAAACAGGAGCTGCTCCCCGTGGGATGTTCGAGTCCCTTCCTGCTACATCATGTCTCTCGTGTGAACTAGCGACAGCTCTCGCGTTAGAAGCGTCGCTCATGACACGCGCCCGCCGAGAACGAGCGGGTAGCGAATCCCCACACTCCGTACGTGTCGAGGGCACTCCGCCCTCAGCTATGGTACATTCCGAGGAAGCGCGCGACTTATCCTCCGTATACGCTCGGGGATGCTGCCATCCCGATATAGTCTTTTCCGAGGAGGCGGGCGGCTTGTTCTCGGTACTTGTTCGGGGGTGCTGCCATCCCGATATGGTATTTTCCGAGGAGGCGGGCGGCTTGTTCTCCGCACTCGTTCGGGGATGCTGCCATCCCGATGCGCGTGATTCCGTCGCCTTCTCTCCCAGGCCAGATTCCGATCGCCAAAAGTCCAGCACGGGAATTGATATCCGCCCACTTCGTGTAGTCGTTCCACACACCGATGGGGGTTCCATCTCAGGCTCGTTTGTCCACTGTGTTGATCCCTGCAAGTGAGCGCGCACCCTTGCTCAGTTGCGCCGATAATTTCCAACGGTCACGTACAACACGATGATGGACTTGGAGACCGCGGCAAGATCAAAACAGATAGTTTCAACCAGAGACTCTCCCGTCGTAGGACCAAAGTTATGTCAATGCCTCCGTAACGCAAAACACTCCAAGGCCCGTGTTGGGCAGGAGGTGGGCATGTGCGCAAATGGGAAAGGGACAATTTAGCAATTTAGGGGGCGCCGCTGATGAACAAAAAAAAAAAAAAAAGGGTTTGGGCGGTGCCCAGGTTCCTGTTCGGTGCAAATACGCCCGTTCCACCGCCTGTACCTATAGCTGCTGTACCATATAACATACATCAGATAGAGGTAACCAGTTGACCAAAGCGGTGATCCCTCTTCTTTTCACTACATCTTGACTGCGTCACATGCCGTCCATTTTCTGTACTCCAGGTAAGATGTTCGGATCACCCTCGTGTCCTCGTGTGGCATGTTGAAGTAAAACTCATCTTCACTCTACACCTACTAAATTATTACTTCTACCTGGCATGTGAACGTATGAACACCAGTCTTGCTGTCGATGTTTGGGAAACATGCGCCGGTCGACAACAGCCTCTCTCCACCGTGCAGAGACACGGGCTCGTCTTAAAAACAATATTGAATGTTTGTACGATATGCTTGTCATGCCAGGAAGCTGTTCGCTTGTCTGAATCAAGCGTGCCATCGCCGTCCCCGATTCAACTGGCATGATGTATGGCGTCTGCTGCACCATGTACACAATGTGGCCTGCTTTCTACTCTGCTTATACTGTTGTGCCCATCTGAGTATTTGTGTCTATTGTCTTCGTACAAAGAACACCACAAAACCATCTCTTCCACAGAGGGGGTCCTCCAATTATTACCCGCAACACCGTTCACCCCATCCAGTCAAGTTGATTGAGCCCTGGGTACGTACAGGGAGGCTACACTTCTATGGGTTGGTCATGAGCACTATACATTCGTCGCGAATCTATCCCTTTTTTGTTACCCACAGATACATGTACATGTACGAAGTAGGTGGATTGTTAGGTCTCTACAAAAAATATTAGGAAAAATAAATATACACACACAGAAAGACTACAATACCCATTCGAGATATACCCACTTTCGAACGGGATG